TGTAGTATAGGAGGTTGTTGACCTTCCATAGGACACTCACGTTCTGGAGGTGGCTGATGTCCCAGTGGGCACTGTAGTATTGGAGGTTGTTGGACTTCCTGGGGACACTCACGTTCTGGAGGTGGTTGAAGTCCCAGTGGACACTGTAGAAGTAGAGGTTGTTGGACTTCTTGGGGACACTCACGTTCCAGAGCTCTTTGAGGTGCCAGTGGACACTGTATTATAGGAGGTTGTGGATCTTCAGGGGGACATTCACATGCAAGAGGTGGTTGAGCTTCCTGTGGATACTGTAGTATAGGATGGTGTTGAACTTCCATCGGACAGTCACATTCTGGAGGTGGTTGATTTGCCAATGTGCACTGTACTATTGGAGGTTGTTCGACTTCCATGGGACACTCACGTTCAAGAGCTGGTTGAGGTGCCAGTGGACACTGTATTAGAGGAGGTTGTTGATCTTCAGGGGGACATTCACATTCAAGAGGTGGTTGAGCTTCCTGTGGATACTGTAGTATACGATGTTGTTGAACTTCCATCGGACACTCACGTTCTGGAGGTGGTTGATTTGCCAATGTGCACTGTACTATTGGAGGTTTTTGTACTTCCTGGGGACACTCGTGTTCAAGAGCTGGTTGAGGTGCCAGTAGACACTGTATTATAGGAGGTTGTTGAACTTCCAGGGCACATTCATGTTCAAGAGGTGGTTGAGGTCCCCGTGGATACTGTAGTATAGGAGATTGTTCAACTTTCATGGGACACTCACGTTCTGGAGGTGGTTGATGTCCCAGTGGGCACTGCAGTATTGGAAGTTGTTGGACTTCCTGGGGACACTCACGTTTAGGAGCTGGTTCAGGTGCCAGTGGACACTGTAATATTGGAGGTTGATGAACTTCCAGGGGACACTCACGTTCTGGAGGTGGTTGAGTTCCCAATAGACACTGTATTATTAGAGGTTGTTGGACTTCCTGGGGACACTCACGTTGAAGAGCTGGTTGAGGTGCCAGTGAACACTGTCGTATAAGTGGTTGTTGATCTTCCAGGGGACTCTCACATTCAAGAGGTCGTTGAGGTCCCAGTTCACACTGTATTATCGGAGGCTGTTGATCATCCAGGGGACACTCAGGTTCTGGAGGTGGTTGATGTCTCAGTGTGCACTCCACTACAGGACCTGTTTGAGGTCCCAGCAAACGCTCGAGTGCACAAGGTGATTGAGGTTCCAGATTACCTTCTTCTGGAGATGGTGGTTGCGGTCGCAGTGGAAACCCGAATGGAGGCTGTGACTCAGCTTCCAGAAAATCTTCACCTGGAGGAGGTGGTACAGGTTCTGGAGGAAACGTCAGTAGATATGTTAGAATTCCTACCAAACAATCGGCTGGCGTTGGCGGTTGAGGTCCCAGAAAACACTCGATTAGAGAAGGTACCAGGGGTGGCAGCAGTGCTTCAGTTGGACGAGGTGCTTCAGGTTCTAGAAGACACTCGGGTATAGGTAGTGTCTGTGGTCCGGGAGAATTCTCAGGTAAAGAAGGTTGTGTAGTTTCCAGTGAACACTCAAGTTCAAGAGGTGCTTGACGTCCCTGTGGATATCGTAGTAAAGGAGGTTGTTGAACTTCCATTGGACACTCATGTTCAAGACGTGGTTCACATCCCTCTGGACACCGTAGAATTAGAGGTTGTTGGAGTTCCTGGGGACACTCACGTTCAAGAGCTGGTTGAGGTGCCAGTGGACACTGTATTATAGGACGTTGTTGATCTTCCAGGGGACATTCACATTCAAGAGGTGGTTGAGGTCCCCGTAGATACTGTAGAATCGGAGGTTGTTGGACTTCCCAGGGACACTCACATTCCAGAGCTGGTTGAGGTGCCAGTGGACGCTGTTTTATAAGCGGTTGTTGATCTTCCAGGGGACGCTCACCTTCAAGAGTTGGTTGAAGTTCCAGTGAACATTGTAGTATAGGAGTTTGTTGAAGTTCTGCAGGACACTCAAGGTCAGGAACTAATTGTGTTTCCAGGGGACACTCGACTGGTGTATGTTGCTGAGGTTCCTTTGGAAACTCACGTGGCTGAAGTGTCTGAGGTCTCAGGAATCCTTCAGCTGCAGAAGGTCTTTCAGGGGCCAGGGGATCTTCCCTTTTAGGAGGTATCAGAGGTTCTGGAGAACCTTCACCTGCAGAGAGTGATCGAAGTCCCAGAAGGCCCGGAGGTGGAGGAGGTGCCTGGCAGCCCATCAATGGTCTGGAAGGTCCAGCCATGAAGTAGGGTAGGTTGGGCCATTCTGGCAGAGGACGAGGCTCCCGTTCAGCCATGTTGACCTGCAAGGCAGAGGCGGAAATGTTTTGAAATATTTTAACATAAGAAACACCAATACGCACACAAGCTGCACCTGATGCCTCAGGTGATGGTCCCTTGACGCTTCCCCTCTTCAGGTTTCTAAATGGCAGCATCAGTGCCATAAAGCATCCATTCCACCGAGTCCTGCTGACAGCAGGGGAGTGAAAACAAGCCATGGGGACAAACTGTTGCCCCCATGCCACTGTCTTTGTCTGCAAATGTAGGCAGGCTGGGGGCCTGTCCCAGGGAAGACAGAGTCACTATACAGCAATGAAGAAGCATGTTTCTGACACGGGGTGTCTATGTCTATCCGCGTTCTTATATAACCGGCATTAGCAATTTGACAGTCTCTACTGTAGAGACTGTCAAAAATTGCTAATGCCGATTACATTGCAAGTTGTCACGGCAGGGTATTGGAAAAGTTTTAAATTAGCCATAATTGCACCTCGGATAAACCTCATTGGCTACAACACTGCCACTATGCAAAGCTAAGTCACAGCTATTCTTAAGGGGATGTTCTCCAAGCTTTTCACGTTCTGTCGCTGATTCTCAGAACTCTGTAAGGTCAGTGTGACCACCCTGCTCCAAATCTAAGAAAACGGAGTTTCCCAAAGGAAGGAGAACTTTCACCCTGGGACACACAGCTTGCAGGAGGCGGAGTGGAAGTCGATTCCAGCTCTGCCTGCAGGACCCTCTCATCCCCCGTCTGCTTCGCTTCTTGGCAAAGGCTCTTCTCCACTCTGGAGGTGCCACCTGTGGGCACAGAGATCTCTGGGGAGATCTGGATTCCTGAAGACCTGCAGGGGAATTGGGAGAGGGTTTTCTGACAGAACAATCCTATGCACAGATATTAGTTTGGCACAGCTATCATATTTCTTTTAACTTCCAGGTCATAACAACTTTTATGTGCACTATGACATAAAAAATAATATTTTTTTCCATGGAAAAATGAGGTGAGAATTCTAAACAACAGATGTTTTAAAAATATGTTCCATTGTAGGTATACAAGTCCCATGATGTGTAATCAGAGAACTCAGCAACTTTCAAAACTATAGAGGCCAACGAGAACTAGCTTCACTGAGGATCGTTGAAGGTCTTCACTGGGAATTGTCCTTGTAGGTAATGAGTGACTTTCACTCTTCACTACCTCACAGCCAGGGCACATTCTCTGTTACAAATGAGGAAACTCTTCTACCTAGAATGTGAGATCTAGGGTGCCACTGGGTGGGAGTGGGAGCAATGCTGCACAACACAGATGGGACTATGATGAATTATGGCACTGACTTTGTCCAGGAGTATTCAAAATGGCACACAGCACATACTAATTAATGTTGGATTAATGAGTTTTGACTTTTTTTCACTTCCGGGATTACAGCAGATATTCTGAATGCTAATCACCTACCTTATAGAAGAAGAGAAATAAAATCACAGCACAAAACAAAACGCTACATATTTTGGAAACAGGACCCCACAATATTTGGAGTCAAATGGATCAGTCAGGATTCCCCGGGCCATGAGACCTCCAGCAGTGGAGCTCAGTGGCATCGCCTCGTGTTATTTCTGCAAACAGAACAGTGGAAGCCCTTCAGTCCTTAGCCCCTAAGCATTGACGGCTTCTGGCAGTGCCAACAAAGATGACCAGCTGGGAATGGAGAAGCCTGGAAGCTCATGGGGAAGATTTTGCTTTGAAAAAGGCCAGACAGAAAAGGCACCCAGAACCCACAGAGCAGAGACCAAGCCGGGAGAGGGTGCTGTGGGAAAAGACAAAAGTGTCCTGTAATAGAGTGAAAAGGACTCCAGCGTTTACCTTTTCTTCATTTCTGATAAAACAGCACAAGGGTAAAAAATGTATTTTTGACCAAAAGCGCTGTTGACATCCTATTAAATAAACATGAACCTACTTAATTTTCTTTCTGTAAATGGTAGATATTTTCATTATTCTTAGGGTAATAAATCATTTCCCTGATTTGTTTTTGTAAAATTCAATATTCATAATAAAGTTCAGAATTGTTCTAAATAATTTTGTATTTATGGTTACAAGTTTACCTCCATAGGAAGTTAGCATACTCACACCAAGGCTAGTTATCCACAACAAAATGGCAAGGGAACAAATTCCCAGGGAGACAGCAATTATAATAAGCGTCCAGGGAATTTCAGAAAAGCCAGGCCCGGGATACAAACTTTCAGGCAGGACATCGATGACCTGGAATAATAATAGATGAAATAATGAGAGTCTCAATGACGTTTACCATATTTTGCTCACAAGGAATCATCCTTAAAAACCCTCAACTTCCTCAAAGAGGTAACCACACCCCTCAGCTATCACCAGGGGATCCCACTGCTTCGAGAAGAATTGGAAGTTGACAGTCTCATGGTTCTTGCATGGCTGGTAGTGTTTGTGAGCATTGTGAATGCGGGGTGTCTTTTCTCTTGGTCTAATGCAGGGATGTCCAATCTTTTGGCTTCCCTGGGCCATCGTAAAAGAAGGAGCATTGTCTTGAGCTGCACATAAAATACACTAACATTAAAAATAGCTGATAACTTAAAAAAATTGCAAAAAAAATCACAATATTTTGAGAAAGTTTACAAATTTGTGTTGGGCCACATTCAAAGCTGCCCTGGGCTGCATGCGGTCTGTCACCTGTGGGTTGGACAAGCTAGGTATAAAATAATTATCATTGTTTTAAAGTTACTTACTTTTTAAATTGACATACAACATTGGAAGTAATTATTAGGTGTTACATGACAAAAGACTCCAGAATCCCTGTGAATCACACTTCTTTCTTAGATTACATGAATCTCTGCCATTTAAAGCGTAAGTTGCTGGGTGTGGTGGCTCACGTCTGTAATCCTAGCACTTTGGGAGGCCAACGCAGGTGAATCACGAGGTCAGGCGATCAAGAACATCCTGGCCAACATAGTGAAACTCCGTCTCTACTGAAAATACACAAATTAGCTGGGTGTGGTGGCACATGCCTGTAGCCTCAGCTACTCAGGAGGCTGAGGCAGGAGAGTTGCTTGAACCAGAGAATTGGAGGTTGCAATGAGCCAAGATCACACCACTGCACTCCAGCCTGGTGACAGGGCAAGACTCCACCTCAAAAAAAAAAAAAACAAAAACAAAACAGCGTAAGTTAAAAAACTATAATAAAGAGATGACAAGCTGGGCGCGTTTGCTCACGCCTATAATCCCAGGATTTTGGGAGGCTGAGGCGGGTGGATCACGAGGTCAAGAGATCGAGACCATCCTGGTCAACATGGTGAAACCCCGTCTCTACTAAAAATACAAAAATTAGCTGGGCATGGTGGCACATGCCTGTAGTCCCAGCTGCTTGGGTGGCTGAGGCAGGAGAATTGCTTGAACCCAGGAAGCGGAGGTTGCGGTGAGCCAAGCATTGCATTTTAGCCTGGGTAGCAACAGCGAAACTCCATCTCAAAAAAAAAAAATTAAAAAATAAAATAAAGAGATGATTTCATTCAGAAATAAGTGTAAAAATACCCAAGTGGGGATCATGAACATGGCCTGAATAGCTAAGATTGTTGATATTAATTCTATTAGACTCTTACGTGAGTGAAGACAAAGACTGCCCCTGAGTAAGTTGAGACAGCTTCTGAGAACATTGCTACACAGATTCCTCAGGATTGAACTGTATGTTCCTGAAAATATCTTAATTCCAAGTGTTTCTTTCAAGATGGTGAATTAAACAGAGATAGGTATTCAACAGGGTGGACTGAGCATTTGCAGAGTCCAGTTGGAATGGACTGAGTTAGAGATCCGTGCAACAATGGGAACGATTTCAGAAACGTTGTGTTGAGCAGAATCAGACAGACACCAAAGAGTACCTAGGCATGGCATGCATCTGTAGATGTCAAATTCCAGAAGAAGCAAACTCAACCTCTGATGAGAAAGGGATTGGCTGGGAAGAGGGAGAGTTCAGTTTCTGGGGTGACATAATATTGTAGTTCTTGAAAGGGGTTGGGATATGCTGGTGTGTGTACTTCTCCAAGTTAGCAATGTTATACTTCAGATTTGTATCGTCTCTTCTATGTAATTCTTCTTGAGGAGAAGTTTTTATAAAGAAATACTGAACTCTAGTTAATGTTAGCTTTGCTAAACTATTCAGCAGGAAGTATGCTGATGTCTCCAATTCAGTTGGAAATGCATCTAAAATAAGATGGGCTGATGAATGGATAGAGGGGTGGAAAGATGTGTAGATATGTGTTGTCATGTTCATTAAAATGTTAACAAATCAATGCTGTATTTAAACATTTTTACAATTAAATGTTGATGGTCATTGCCAAATCACTTGTGTCATGTCAGTAATTTTCTCCCTTTAAACAAGAGTTCCAAAATAATGATTATTTACGTTCTATTTTTGAACAGTTTTACACGCAATATCAATTGGATGTTTTTTCTGTCAGTTTGGCTTGGTGTTGCAAAATGCAAGTATACACAGGGAAATCTTGCAGAGGTGCTGCTTTCTGGGTTTTCACTCTCACGACAAAGACCAAATGGGAAAAGCAAGCCTTCTGTCTCTTTCCAAGGGAGAGGATAGACACACTGCCATATATATGTCCATGCAAAGGAATGTTACTCAGCAATAAAACAAAAAGCAGACTTAGTATTTAAAACAATATGAATCCATGTGAACATGATTCTGCTGACTTTACAAAATTCAGAACGGCAAGAATGCCTCTCCTGTATGACACCATGACAGGAAATGGCAGTGCAGGGGGAGGACAGTAGGATGGCGGGAGAAGGACAGATGGACTCCAAAGGAGGAGGAGGAAACTTTGAAGAGGGAGGAATGTGTTTAGTATCTTGAATCTGGAATGTGGTGATGCTTTAACTGCTGTATCCATATGTAAAAGTCAGCTAATTGGATTCTTTACAAAGGGTCTATTTAATATACAGGACTTTACATCATTTAAGCGGTATAAGGAAATTTGATACATAAACTATTAGTTTTTAATCATCTGAACAAACATTGCAATTATATCTTTAAAATAATTATAGAACTTACCTAGAAATTATAATTCAATTAAAAATGGAGATAAGAAAATACAAACTCACACTGGTCGGGAAGCCAAGGTCTCTTAAATATTTAAAAATTTGTGTTACATTCTTTGGAATAGACCCAAAAATATGCCAACAATGTGTGGAAAAATGAGAAAAATATAAGAAAAAAGGCTTAAAGTTATAGATGAAAGTGCTACCTAAATATATGTTTATCTATACACAAAACCGAGAGTGGACAGCTGCTGTAATAAGAACACCCAGGTTATATTCCAACAAAAATAATTACAGATTGTTGTTTAGCCCAAGTTTCTAGAAACATTAACTTTTGAAAATCAATGTTCACTACTGCTGAAACGGGCACTTCATGTCAGATTTTCCAAGTCCAGAAAGATTTGCATCACATAGTCCTCTTGGAATTATGATTAAAACTGTGAGAATTGAGGTCAGTTAAAAATACAATGCCAAGTAAC